ATTCCACCAAAATGACAGATGTTGGGTTAGGGCACTAATGACGGATTTCAGAAACTTGAATCAAAATCGGGGGCACGCATTCAAACATGTACAAACATTACAAAATGCATGAACAACCTCCAGAGTGTACTGTGGGATTACCAAACATGATGACATTCACGGCTGCCCACACTGTTCTAAGAGGAGAATATGATGTCACTGTACCTTAACAAAGATGGGGGCCATCCTAGTACTCGTCTCCGCCTCTCCTTTGCTCTCTCAAACATATGGCTCACTCATGGCGGAGGTGGAGCTTCAGCCCAGCAGTCCACTCCTCCCAAACATGACGCACAGAAACACACAGAGGGACTCCAGTAGTGCAGTTTCTGTTTAACTCCACTTGCCCGAACGCAGATAGCTGAATGATTGCTTCAGAGGCCGGCCAGTTGTGGGTCCCAGAACGTGACGCCCCCACTTCCCTCCCCTGATTGGGCTGCCACTTCTGGAACTTATCAGGTATATGAGCACTGTGATAGGGAGCTGTGTGATCTATGGGAGGGGGACTGTGAATCATTGGGGCCTTTTACCTCAGAGGGGATCTAGCTCTGTATGACACAAGCAGATTGCTATAGAAATGTCTGTCATCTCATGTACAGTGAGGAATGACACTGCACATAACTGCTTTCTATGGACACTTTACTACTTTGTTGTCAGAGGTTTTTATATAAAGTGACCTTCCCCCCCCCCCACTTTGTATCATTGCACCCTCCCCCTCCGCTGTCACAGATGGACATTTTATTTCATTATTCTATTTATTCATTCTACTTTTTTTGGCATTTTTTCTTAAATTTGTTTATTGCTGTAATATCTATTTTTTGCCCCTTATTGTTGCATAACAGTACCACCTCATTTCAGTGCCGCCTATCAGTGCTGCTTATCAGTGCCACATCAGTGCTGCCTATCAGTGCCCATCAGTGCTGCCTATCAGTGCCCCTCATCAACACACATTGTATCATTGCACTCCTCCCTTGCAAAATTGTCACAGATGGAAACATTTCTTTTTTTTTTTTTTACGGATTATTCACCTTTTTTGCATTTCTTTATTAATTTTTGTAAAACCATTTTCACCCAGTGTCCCCTCCCCACCACTGGCAGGACTGTCTGTGTGAAAAAAATGGAAAAACTTGTCATGCATCCCAGGAAGCCTCGGGGTCCTTGTCACAACGCATGCGAAAGCTGCTGGGCAGGAAGGGGGGTGCTCCGATAGGCTGGGGTTAAAATCTATGTATTATGATTCTTGATGGAGTGTCACCATGATGCTGCACTTTGTCCATTGCGTCAGTATCAGGGGGACGGCTATTCAGTAACCCGGGAGAGACACCTGAGCGTTTTGATGATGTACCTAAAATCCTGATTGTTTCGTAGCAGCAAAATCGTAAGTTTTTATGTGAATTTATGAAACGTTGTGGTGCAAAATGCGCATAACATGCATGTGACGCTTGTGGTGCCATTCCACATCACAAAATGGCACCTCAAACGCAGTAAAACGCAGACATGTTTAATGCTATGTGGAAAGTGTGTCACATGCGTAGGGCCGCCTACTGAAATGAATGAATTTTGCATGCGTTCATGGAATGTACTTTATAGCTTACAAAAAAATGATGAAGAAAGTCATTCTTTTGAAAACAAAAAGCTGCTGAGCGCTCGTAGTCACCCACACAAAATTGTGCTGGGCTGGCAGATTATGACAGCTTTGTACCACAAAATGCAGTTTTCATGATATGTATGGATGTGTAAAAATGAAAGGCAAAAGCCATCAGGGGTCCCTCTGGGGTGTATTGCGGTCATTACTGATCTGCACTACATTCCCTGCTGCCAACACCAGACATGGAGTGAAAGGGTCACTTTACCATAAAAAAGATGGCCACTGGAATGCTCAGCTCCACCCCCATCCTTGGCTTACCTCTATCCTGACAGTCCAAACTGCCATCCCAAAATCGCTCCACCTTCATCATGTTTATCAGCCCAGATCCTTGGCTGTCCCTCTTGGTCCACCTTCTGTCAGGCTCTGTAATCCTTCAAACTTATGAAAGCTCTTCACTGAAAATGGCAATAGGGACCGTCACCGCCAAACATGCAGCGCTGGATCCCCAGCTCCGCCCAATTTATTGCTAGGAACGCAAGCGTAATGACAACTTTTAAAACTGCAACCAAAATCAGTCATTGTGTATGCATAAATAATCCCCAAAAGCACACCTCCCTCCCAGTTCCCGTCTCCTGTCTGCCCTTCTTCAGGGACATATTGATCATGGCCTGGGCACTGTGCCCTCACTGATATAGGGTGAGTTTTTTACCTAACAAAGATGGCCTCTAATGGGGATCCTCAGTTCCGCCCTGATGTGGGGGTTAGCAACTAATACAGGCACTCTTGAAACTTGAATCAAAATCGGCATTAAACATGTACAAACATTCCAAAATGCATGAACTGCCCCTCCAGAGTGCACTGTGGGGATTACTACTCTGAATGACATTCACGGCTGCCCACACTGTGATATAGAGGAGATCTGGTCACTGTACCTTAACAAAGATGGGGCATCCTGTATCTCATAGGGGTACTCCTTGGGGGTCCTCCTCTCATATAGCCGGCACCTGAAATGGTCTGCAGCATAACTGAGGAGGTGGAGCTTTTTTTTTTTAGTCCCCCATACATCTCAGACTGATGAACAGTGTGGCAGGAATGAATAGTTTAGGAACTATTTGAGAACCCCAAAGTTCCCTTTAAGTCCGCCCCCTACTGTGCGTGACTCCTCCCACTTCCCATGTGTGACACCAGACTACAGCATGACTTTAGGGGGGGTGCATTCTTCCTACTGACCATGGGGGGGACTTTGCAATTGACTGTGATTAAACTCGGGGAGGGGGACTGTGTCCTTGGGGGACCTCAGAGGGGATCTAGCTCTGTTACACAATACATTTCCTGAAGATGTCTGTCATCTCATGTACAGGTGATCATGTCAGCATCACAGCACCGGATTGCTTTCTAAGCAGCACTTTAACTTTGTTGTCAGAGGTTTTTATAATAAAGTCACCCCATTGCCCCCCCCCCCCACTTTGTATCATTTTCCTCCCCCTGCCTGCTGGCACAGGGATTGTCACATTTTATTTCATTATAGGATCTATTTATTATTCTACTTTTTTTGGGGGATTTTTTCTTGGGGGAATTTGTTTATTGCTGTAATATCTTTTTTACACAAGCATTCCTCTAGAAATGTACATTTACAGGTGATCATGACATCACACTCTGCTTTCTATGGACACTTTGTACTTTTTTTAAAAAAAGTTCTTTTAAAGTGAACCTTCCCCCTCCCCCCACACTTTGTATGATTGCACTCCTACCCCTCCACTGTCACAGATGGAATTTCTTTTATTTTCTTATTCTACTTTTTTTGCATTTTGTATGAAAATTTTTTTATGGTAATACCTTTTTCTTGTCCTTTCCTGCCATGCCAGGATTCCCCCAGCATTCCAGGAAGCCTTGGGGTCCTGTACAACGCATGCGCTGCTGTGCATCATCGGGGCTCTGGCTGTCTCTTCCTGGTTCTTGCAGCTGTATCCCTGATGTCACACTGTGGCACGTGCATGCCATCAGGGGGGCGGCTACAAGAATCCGGAAGACACAGCGGCCCCTCGATGTAAGTAAACAAGATGGAGGCATGGTGAACAGCTTGCAGCGGATTGCAGCTGGAGAGGCGGTATCATTAGAAAACCCCTCTGCAGTGTAAAGAGCAGGCTCTATGGCAAGCTGCATCAAGTGTCTTGGAGCTGCAGTGGCTGGGCAGTAGCCATCGCATGCATCAATAATTGCAGCGAATCTGGTTGGGTCTCTCTGAGTTATGGTTCAACAAGTAATGTCAGTTCTCTGTATAGGTAAACCAGATTCACTCATGGCAACCGATACAGAAATCTATGTATTACTCCCAAGTGCAAATGGGAAGCCTGCAGTCCAAATGTGTTCATGTATCCAAAGGCTCTGTTCTCACTTGTGCATTGTGGGAACACATGCACAATTGCGCACTTTGCAGCCCTTTATCAGGTGCACAGCATTGCTAATAATTTTTAATGGCACCTCCATGCATCACGCTAATGCGTGTACATTCATGTGCGCCAAAACGGATGGTACTTTATTACATTTTAGTGTGCTGCGATTTTTAATGGAGGCCAGGGAATTATTTTGTGCATTTCTTGTGCATAGCGCAGTCCATTGAAATTAATGGGCTGCCCAAACATGACGTACAGACTGCAGCCAGCCTGTTCTGGGAGGGCGCCATATGACGTCCTCTCAGAACGTGCCCTCGCGCATGCCCCCAGGGGCGCGCACCCGGCAATCTACAATCTCAAACTAGATTCACTCATGGCAACCGATGCAGAATGGGCTGCCCAAACATGACGAGCAAACTGCGGCTGGCCAGTTCTGGGAGGGCATCATATGATGTCCTCTCAGAACATGCCCTCCCACACGCCTGCAGGGGCGCGCACCCGGGGATCTACAATCTCAAACTACCGTATTTGCCGGCGTATAAGACGACCCCCTACTTTTCCTGTTAAAATATAGGGTTTGAGCTATACTCGCCGTATAAGACTACCCCTCTTCCAATGCACACCAAATAAAAATGAAAAAACATCAGATTTGATTTCAATATGGTATGCTATTTCAGTATGGTATTCCAATGATGGGGTGCTATTCCTCCCACTGACACCAATGATGGGGTGCTATTCCTCCCACTGACACCAATGATGGGGCACGATTCCTCGCTCTGACACCAATGATGGGGCACTATTCCTCCCACTGACACTAATGATGGGGCATGATTCCTCCCACTGATACCAATGATGAGGCACTACTCCTCCCACTGACACTAATGGTGCCCCATCAGTAGTGTCAGTGTGTGAGGAATAGTGTCCCATCATTAGTGTCAGTGGGAGGAATAGTGCCCCATCATTGGTGTCAGTGGATGAAATAGTGCCCCATCATTAGTGTCAGTGGGAGGAACAGCGCCTCATCATTGGTGTCAGTGGAAGGAATAGTGCCCCATCATTTGTATCAGTGGGAGGAATCATGCCCCATCATTGGTGTCAGTGGGAGGAATAGCACCCCATCATTGGTATCAGTGGGAGGAATAGTGCCCCATCATTAGTCAGTGGGAGGAATAGTGTCCCATCATTGGTGTCAGTGGGGTGGAGGAATAGTGCCCCATCGTTGGTGTCAGTGGGGAGGAGGAATAGTGCCCCATGGTTGGTGTCAGTGGGGGAGTAATAGTGCCCCTCATTGGTGTCAGTGGGGAGAATAGTGTTCCATCATTGGTATCAGTGGGGAGAAAAGTGCCCCATCGTTGGTGTCAGTGGGGGAGGAATAGTGCCCCATCGTTGGTGTCAGTGGGGGAGGAATAGTGCCCCATCATTGGTGTCAGTGGGGGAGGAATAGTGCCCCATCGTTGGTGTCAGTGGGGGAGGAATAGTGCCCCATCATTGGTGTCAGTGGGGAGAATAGTGCCCCATCAATGGTGTCAGTGTGGAGGAGGAATAGTGCCCCATCGTTAGTGTCAGTGGGGGAGAGGAGCGGCTGCTCCTTCTTTCAGTTCTTTCAGCAGCTTGATTTTCGCGGGGCCGTTTGGCTCCGCCTCCTCGCCGGTGATTGGTCGCCGCGCTGGCGCCCAATCACCGGTGAGGAGGCGGAGCCGAGCTGCCGCGCGACCATCGAGCGGCCGAACTGAAAGAAGGAGCAGCCGCGCTTCCTGGACCGGATCATCGCGGGACCGGGACCGGAGCCAGGTAAGGTGCAGCAGCCCCTCTGCCCACCCCTGTACTTAGTGTCCGCGTATAAGACGACCCCCGACTTTTCAGAAGATTTTCAGGGGTTGAAAAGTCGTCTTATACGCCGGCAAATACGGTAGATTCACTCATGGCAACCGATACAGAATGGGCTGCTCAAACATGACGAGCAGACTGCGGATGGCCAGTTCTGGGAGGGCGTCATATGATGTCCTCTTAGAACATGCCCTCCCACATGCCTGCAGGGGCGCGCACCCGGCGATCTACAATCTCAAACTAGATTCACTCATGGCAACCGATACAGAATGGGGCTGCCCAAACATGACGCACAGAAACACACAGAAAGTACAAGTTTCTGTTTAACCACTTGCCCGAACTCAGATAGCCGAATGATTGCTTCACTGAGGCCGGCCAGTTGTGGGTCCCAGAACGCGCCCTCCCTCGCATCCCCAGGGGCGTGCCACCCGGCGATCTCCATGAGCGCTGTGTCCTACGGACACAGCTGATCTTGTGATATGGTAAAAGGCCAATCACGGTGGCCTTTTACCACGTGATTAGCCGTGTCCAATGACACAGCAGATCGCCGGTAAATGCAGTTGCTGGTTATCGGCTGCACTTTCCTCACGCTGTCACAGCATGAGGAAAGTACTGCCGATAACTGGCAATTGTCAGAGGACGGATCGGCACCGATCATCAGTGCCCTGATGATCAGTGCCTATCAGTTCCACCCACCAGTGCCCATCAGTGCCACCCACCAGAGCCTAGCAGTGCCGCCCACCTGTGCCCATCAGTGCTGCCAGTCAGTGCCACCCATCAGTGCTGCTCATCAGTGCCACCTATCTGTGCCCATCATTGTTACATAACAGTACCGCCTCATCAGTGCCGCCTATCAGTGCTGCTTATCAGTGCCCATCAGTGCTGCCTATTCGTGCCACCTCATCAGTGCTGCCTATCAGTGCCCATCAGTGCTGCCTATCAGTGCAGCCACATCAACGCACATTAAAGTGCGCTGGAAAGCTGGGCCTGGGCAGGAAGGGGGTATAAGTGCCCGTAGGCAAGGGGTTAAAATCTATGTATTATACTTATGATGGAGTGGAATCACCACTCTCTTCCAGGGTTACAGAGCCATTAGGATCTTCAGTATCCAGAATATTCAGTAGGCCCCATTCACACCTGAGCATTTTGTAAATGCACAAAAACTCCCCAAGTATGTACAAGCATTTACAAAATGCGCATAACATGCATGTGACGCTTGTGGTGCCATTTCACTGGTAATGGCACCTCAAACGCAGTAAGCAGACATGTTTCTGCATGTGGAAAAGTGCAGGGAGGGGCAAAACGTGTCAAAACGCACAAAGTTCAAACTGCTGAAAAAGCATGCACTACATTTGGCGCGTGTAACTGTGTTGTGAGTACACAAAGCACTCAATTGAATCGTTGCGTATGGAACCCATTGAAATGACTCAATGGGCTGCCCAATGCGTGTAGTACACAAATACACACGTGTGAAAAAAAGGAAGCTCTTTTATTAGCGTCCACAAAATCAGTTATAGATACAGTAGTACAAAAAATTACACAGGAAAAAAAGTGCTCTTTTTACATGTTTAAAATGATCATTATTTTGTCTGTACAGTTCCCAAAAAAAAATTACAAAGGAAAAAAAGTATTTTAACCATTATGAGGGTGGTCACTGGGGTGTAGTATGTGTCCATTATTTGTCTGTAACTGCTACAGTCCCAGCTGCCCACACCATACATGGCAGGAAGGGGGCACTTTACCAGGATAAAGAGATGTGGACTGCTCAGCTCCGCCCACTCACATGCTGGCTTAGCTGCTAATGACAGTTTTGAAACTGCACCCAAATCGCCATTCATACAATGTATTACTCAGCCCAGAATACATGTATTAATATCAGCCCAGAAGCTGTTGACTGTCCCCTCTGGGGTGTTCTGTGGCTACTACTTGCTCTGAATTACATCCCCAGCTGCCCACACTGCACCTAGAAAGGAAAATAGGACCCTTCACCATAACAAACATGGCCGCCGGAGTCCTCAGCTCCGCCCATTTAGCTACTTAGCAAGTAATGACAGCTTTTAAAACTGGAAACAAAATCAGCATTCCATACATAAATAATCAGCCCAAAAGCCATAAGATGTCCCTCTGGGGTGTGCGGTTGCTATTTCTGCTCTGAATTACATTCCCGGCTACACTGTACATAGAAAGGAATGAGTTCTTTTACCATAACAAAGATGGCCACCGAAGTCCTCAGTTCCAAATCACTCAGATGTGGGTTAGCAACTAATGACGGCTTTGAAACTTGAATCAAAATCGGCATTCAAACATGTACAAACATTACAAAATGCATGAACTGCCCCTCCAGAGTGTACTGTGGCGATTACTACTCTGAATGACATTCACGGCTGCCCACACTGTATATAGAGGAGAATAGGTCACTGTACCTTAACAAAGATGGCCATCCTAGTACTCGTCTCCGCCTCTCCTTGGCTCCTCCTCTCATATGGCCCAGTCTGTGGTGTCTTCATAACTGACGGAGGTGGAGCTTCAGCCCAGCAGTCCACTCCTCTCGATGAGAAGGCAGTGAATGAATAGTTGCTAGGGACTCCAGAGTGCTTAGCAACCGAGGTTTGCTCCGCCCCCTGCTGTGTGCGTGACTCCTCCCACTTCCCTCTCCCCTGATTGGCTGACTTCTGGAACTGCCAGGTATAATGGGGGCTGTGATAGGAGCTGTGTTGATCTATGGGGAGGGGGACTGTGATCTATGGGGGACCTCAGAGGGGATCTAGCTCTGTATACACAAGCATTGCTATAGAAATGTCTGTCATCTCATGTACAGGTGATCATGACATCACACTCTGCTTTCTATGGACACTTTACTACTTTGTTGTCAGAGGTTTTATATAAAGTGACCCTTCCCCCTCCCCCCACTTTGTATCATTGCACTCCTCCCCCTCCGCTGTCACAGATGGACATTTTATTTCATTATTCTATTTATATTATTCTACTTTTTTTGGCATTTTTTTCTTAAATTTGTTTATTGCTGTAATATCTTTTTTCTTGTCCCCTCCCCTCACATTTACAGGTGATCATGACATCACACTCTGCTTTCTATGGACACTTTGCTACTTTTGTTTGTCAGTTTTCTTTTAAAGTGACCCTTCCCCCCCCCCCCCCCCACACACACACTTTGTATTATTGCACTCCTCCCCTCCGCTGTCACAGATGGACATTTCTTTGTATTTCTTTTATGGATTATTCTCCTTTTTTGCATTTCTTTATTAATTTTTGTAATACCATTTTCCTTGTCCCCTCCCACTACTGGCAGGACTCTCCGACATCCTCCTGGAATACTGATGTCATGCATCCCAGGAAGCCTCGGGTCCTGTACAACGCATGCGCTGCTGTGCATCATCAGGGCTCTGGCTGTCTCTTCCTGATTCTTGCAGCTGTAGCCATGATGCTGCACTGTGTCCAATGCATGCATCAGGGGGACGGCTACGAGAACCCGGGAGAGACAGCGGCCCCTTGATGATGTACCAAAACACCTGACTGTTTCGTGAGCGCAGCAAAATCGTAAGTTTTTATGTGCATTTATGAAACATGGTGGTGCCATCAGGGTTAACTGACATCTCATGGGGCCCCCCCGCAATAGGGGATCATGGGGCCCCTGTGTCCTTTCACCAGACGTGTCAAAAACCATGAAAAAGGTACCAGGGCATGTCATGTGGGGGCCCCTACTGACCACGGGCCCTCGGGCATGCCCGAGTTTCCAAATGGTCATCCGCCCCTGGGTGCCATTCATTTAATGACATCACAAACACAGCAAGCAGACAAGTGCGTTGTTCCACGTGGCAAACGTGTCAAAACGCACAAAGCTTAATGCTACTTTGGCACGTGGTCATGCGTAGGCCGCCTACTGAAATGAAATGCGATTTTGCATGCGTTTCATGGAATGTACTTTATAGCTTTCAAAAAATGATAAAGGAAGTCAGTTCTTTTACCAGAACAAAGAGCTCTGAGCGCTCGGCTCCACCCCGCACCATTGTGCTGAGGCTGCAGATTATCACAGCTTTGTACCAAACTGCTATTCATGGATATATGGATGTGAATGGATGATGGCAACAGCCATCAGGGGCCCTCTGGGGTGTATTGCAGCTATTACTGATCTGCACCACATTCCCTGCTGCCAACACCAGACATTGGAGTGAAAGGGTCACTTTACCATAAAAGAGATGGCCGCTGGAGTGCTCAGCTCCACCTCCCATCCTTGGCTCCACCTCCCATCATGGCTCCACCTCTCACTCAGGCTCTGTAATCCTTCAAACTTACTGAAAGCTCTTCAGGAAATGGCAGACCTGGACCGTCAGCCCCGCCAGTCTGCAGTGCTGGATCCCCACTGAGCAGCAATCAATGATTGTTAGGAACGCCAGCGTACTTCTTAGCTAACAATGATGTCATGTGTATGCCTTGTCCCCTGTAGCACACCTCCTCCCCGAGTTCCCGTCTCCTGTCTGCCCTTCTTCAGGGACATATTGATCAGGCACTGGCACTGTGATGGGCTCTACTGATCTATGGGGCTACTCTGATCTATGAGGGAACTCTGATCTATGGGGGGTACTCTGATTGCTCTGATCTGTGGAGGTACTTTGATGTATGTAGGCACTCTAATCTATGGGGTTACTCTGATTGGGGCACCTGATCTGTGAGTCTAACTCTGATCTATGAGGGAACTCTGAT